TAGTGGATATCTTCGGTAGCTGTTTGGTGGACATGGATATGTGGATTTCACGTGGATATCTAGTGGATATCTTCGGTAGTCATTCGAGAGATATAGATATTTTGTTCATCTATTAGATATCTATTAGTTATCCATGGTAGATATGGACATCAGATAGATATGTAGATATTCACTAGATATCTATTGGATGTTGTGTTCTGTATGGGTTTCGACGAATGAAATCGTAGATAATCTATTAGTGAATCGCTCACTTTTTAATTTTCACCTCGTGAGTAAACTCACCCAATAAAGAACCATAATTATAATATAGGCACCAAGAAGATAAACGTATGCGTATTACGCACATAATACAAAATGTAAAATATCGAATAGTTAATAATAATATTAACTATACGTATATAACAAAAATTCAAATATAACTATTTAGATTTTAATTTCTAATTAATAATGGATATATGCTTATTAAATATTTCTGGCAAACATTTTTACGAATAAGAAATGAATATGTAGATAACACGTGGATCTCTAATAAATATCTTTCGTAGCTATTTGGTGGACATGGATATTATGTAGATAACATGTAAATATCTAATGAATATCCTTGTCAGATATTCAGTGGACGTGGATATGTGGACAAAAATCGGATGTCCACTAAATATCCTTGTCAGATATTCAGTGGACGTGGATATGTGGACAAAAATCGGATGTCCACTAAATATCCTTGTCAGATATTCAGTGGACGTGGATATGTGGACAATAATCGGATATCCACTAAATATCCTTGTCAGATATTCAGTGGACGTGGATATATGGACAATAATCGGATATCCACTAAATATTCTTGTCAGATATTCAGTGGACATGGATATGTGGACAATAATCGGATATCCACTGGATATCCTTGTTAGATTTTTAGTGGACATGGATATGTGGACAATAAGTGGATATCTACTAGATATTCTTGTTAGATTTTTAGTGGACATGGATATGTGGACAATAAGTGGATATGTACTAGATATTCTTGTCAGATATTTAGTGGACGTGAATATGTGGACATTCTATGATATCTAATGGATACCTACTGGATATTTTTAAATAAATTTTTAGTTAACATGGATGTGTGGATAATATGTGGATATCCACTAGATATCCCAGCTGGTTATACGGGAGATATAGATATTTTTGATATCTAATAGATATCTATTGATTATCCATAATAGATATGGAAATTATATGGATATGTCGATATCCAGTAGATCTCGATTAGATATGTAGCTCTGTGTGGGTAGAGAAATAGAACATACATTTTTTATCTTCCCTAATGCTATTTCAGCAAACTGAAAATATGCACTTTGGGTGTACTTTCAAATGACCCCTGCTCTCGATCAAAGTGAAGTTTAATACATTAATTGTCTTCAATGTGAGGAATAATGGATCCAATTCCAGGATGGATAGATAATTTTAATGGTCCTGTAGGGTTTTATTGTTTCGGCGGCAAAGGATTGTTACGGGTAGTCTATGCTAGTAACTATATTTCACAAAATCATATACCAATAGATACTGTCATCAACATTATAATTCTCGTAATCTGGAAACTTGGATTGACAAAGTACGATCATCAATTTATATGTATTATATATTAACGCATCTCTAGCTCTATATTAAGCTATAATCAGAAATTATTTTAATTTAAAATTAAATTTACGTTATGCTATCATTACACGCTTTATTCAATTTCTTCTTCTTTTGCATTAGAGTTTAGAAAGCTGAAATGTCACATATTTATTCTCTATTGAATTTATATATGATTTTATTGGATAAGATTAAATTAAAGAGTTTAAAAGAATTAAATAAAATTTTTTACATCTACGTTCTTAATGCTTAATTCATTAAAATATATTAAAATAAAATTTTTGATATTTTAAAATAATATATATCTTGCGACATTCTTGCAATCTTATTTAATATAATATTTTACCTAACTTGTCTAAGATATTTTTAAAACTTAATACAGTTTTTGTAAAATCTTATATATACTGCATTAAAAAAATTTTTTTTTCTTATATTATGGGAATATTTGCAGAGCTCCTCCATATTTTAGGTGGCTGCACGGTGTGCATGAATACATTCGTAGATCATGTCCGAAATAAAAAATACAAGCTTTAATTTATTAAACATATTAATAGCTATCTGCTATCCAATCATTTTTTCAAAATTTTTAAAAATAAAAAAATGGCGGTGTGTTGAAAAAAGTTTTGTTTTTTTTTTAAAAGGTTCATTTTTTTGTTTATAACAAAAAATGGGAAATCGGATTGAAAAATGGCTTCATTAGCAGATGCAGAATCTTATTAAGAATTCGCATGCAAAGTTTGAATTCAATCCGTCGAACATAGCCCGAGTTTTCATGCACACCGTGCATAAAAACATAAATCTGCAAATATTCGCATAACTTCTAAAAAAAATTTTATTAAGCTGAAAATTTTTATTTAAGTAGTTAATAATATTGTATTAATATTGTAAAAAAAATTAAAATTTTTTATCAAATCGTTGCGCTGCAAAAAAAACCTAGAAAATATACTCAATTTTCGAAAGTTTAAACGGGTATGCCCTATGCCCCCTTAAAAACGTTTGTTTGTTTCATTTGTTAAAAAACTATTGTTTAAACAATTTCATTAAGTACTTTTTGAGTTATTTTATATTTTATTCTGACATATTTTGATATAAAAAATCAAATATCTCGTAAAATATTTAGTTTCCGATAATTTTACCGTAAAACTTTTATGTACAGAATAACGAGACAAATCGATTGGTGTAAAAAAACAAATAATTGTCTAAAAAAATACATTATAAGTAATTACATACTTTTTCTTTAAAAAAATTATTTTTTTATATTGATTGATTTGTCTCATTAGTCTGTACAAAAAAATATTACGGTAAGATTATCGAAAACTAAATATTTTACGAGATATTTTATTTTTTATATCAAAATATTTCAGATTAAGATATAAAATAACTCAAAAATTTAATGAAGATATTTTATTTTTTATATCAAAATATGTCAGATTAAGATATAAAATAACTCAAAAAGCATTTAATGAAAAAATACTTTATTATAGTGTTTTGAAAAGCTTTCGAGATAAGATATAAAAATATGTAATAAAGAATAGAGGGCTTCATTTAAGAAATTTATGATGACCTTCACGTGACCTTGACAACGATATTCAAGGTCGTACTAATATTGCTATGTAATGCGTTACTTGAAACCCTACAACTTTTGTCTGAAATATTTTTGTCTACCGTTCTCGGTTTTCGAAATATTCGGCTGGCACGGGTGGTCTGATATACCCTATATATACACACATATATATGTATGTATAATATGCAACATAGGATATTGGAACTGCAGAGGAAAGCATATGTGAGCAACCGTGCTGTGCAACATTTTACACGTAACGAATGGAAATTTGATAATACAAATAGTCAAGATCTAATGTTAGTAATACCATCTGATAACCGAAAAATGTTCTCGATCGATCTGTCTGACATGGATATGACAAAATATTTGAGGTAAATATAAATATATAGAGCTTGATTTTAAATAGAGAAAAGAAACTAATAAATTGACCCACGCTCATATTGTTTTTGGGCTTTTATTTCTAATTTTGAATTTTATATTCATAGATATTTACTAGATATTGCTCTCTATTAAATTGTGTGTATCACAATTTTTATAATATTGTCTTGAATTTTTGAGCAAATTGCTTTTTTATAGAATGCACAAAAAATTAAAGTTTGAGAAAATAATTTTTATATCTGACGTATCTACTGGTAATAACAGAAACATGATAATAAAAAAATAATAAAATACTGCCACATATCGTTAAAATATTGTGTATAACTTATACAAATTTATCAGTTTAATATAAAATTACATTTTTTCTTATTTATTGTATTTAAAAAATTTAACGTTTTTGATAATTAACATACATACTTTCTTTTCCTTTTCTTATCTTCCAAATTTGAAATTTTTAATAAAAAAGTTTTTTATACGAGACATCTATAAAATAAGATTCAGATAAATCGGTCAATTTACTTATATTTTTAATAGATACTAAATTCCTCACAAAAATTAGAGGAACACATAATTTTTCTTAAAAAATAGGTGAAATTCAGATAGCTGTAACTTCGTTAAAAATGAACGAAATTTAAATCTAAAAAAAGGTTTTAAAGCTTAAAATCTCTATTTTCGAAGTCACAATTTTTTTTGAGTTTTTGTGAATTTGTTAATTTTTAATAATGTTATAAATGCCATTTTTTTTTAACATGTAAACATGATGCAAATAGATGAAAATAACGTAAAAATTAGTGATTTTTTGTTTTAACCCAGAAAACAATTATATATTAGGTGTACAACTTTGCTTCCGCCGTTTTTTTTCCGAAATTCGAGGCTTTATTGTAAAGTTTCAACTCGTACGGCACCCAATTTCCTTGCTTCTGAATCATTCCCATGTCTTTGAGGCGTTTTGAAATTGCTTGTTGAGTCACTCCCAATGATCGTGCCATTTCTTCTTGACTTTGACTCGAGTCTTTATTAAGTAATGCCTCCAATTCTGCATCTTTGAAAACCTTCTCTCTTCCACCGCTATGCCGGTCTTCGACGTGAAAATCACCGTTCTTGAAGGGTTGAAACCACTCACGACACGTTCTTTTACTAATAGCGGCCTCACCATAAGTATTTGAGAGCATTCGATGAGCCTCAGCCGCAGGTTTCTTCATATTGAAGCAGAAAATTAAAACCTCCCGCAAATGACGAGAATTTGGCTCGTAAACTGACATTTTCAATCGAGAATAGCTTTATGATGCAGACACAAATCGACTAATGTTTCTTTGGGGTTATGTTGACAGATGCCCAAGTTTATTGCATGACGTCTATGATTTATTTATTTCGACCACTACTTACCGCTAAAGCCATCTATAGGAAAACGGCGGAAGCAAAGTTGTACACCTAATAAAACAACAAAAAAATTTATTCTTCACGTTTTTTTGTACTTTTAAGCACCCTGCATTTAAATGAAAATTTGCCGAATAGCTATAAGATTTTTTTTTATGGTAGCTCTTATGATTTTATGAGGCAAAACGTACAGAAAATTGTGAAATTGCTTTATTTAGCGATAAAAAAATAAACGAAAAAAAGGTCAATTAACGATAAAAATATTGCTTTTTAGTGCACTGATAGTACATTACCTTTACTAAATGTCAACAACAATAGCAACAAATTTTTTTATATTTCTTGATATTTGATAACGGAGTTATGAGAAATCAAAGTTAAAACGATCATTTTTTATTTAATCCGTGATAACTCAGTAACAAAAAATCTTAGAAACATTAAAAAAAATAATTTCGTAAAAAAAAGCTTTAAGCTTTCATATTAGAAAGTCGAAAATTTTCGCAGATTTTTTGGGGGCACGTAACAGCACCATAAGATAAGAAGAAAATTTCCCATATTGCTCAGATAGTAGTTTTCTATATGTAAAAGTTACCAAACAGAAACTCAAAAAATAGTGACCTGTTAAAAATAGAGATTTTTTAATTACTAATAGTGGTATATTAATTTTTACAATATTTAAATTATTAAATATTTATTTTATTGTTTGGAGAAATGCAATAATAGGTGCCAAAATATATCTTCTGCACGAAGACATGAATCGATTAGAAGCAGCCAAAGCACATCGTAAAAAGTAAGTGTAAAAGTAACGAAACATTGTTTTTTTTTTTAGATTAGATATATTACTTGTTTATTTATAAGATGTATTAATTGATTAATCACAAGATACGAGAATATTAGTTTATGTAACATTTTAATTTCTAATTTTCTTAATCGGACTACGAGAGGAAGAATACACAAATAAAAACAAGAATAAATTAAATTTTATAACTTACAAGCTGATATAATATTGTAAGAACTGTACTTATTGATAATTAAAATATATAATGCATTAAAAGAAATATAGGAGCATATATAAACAAATGCAATGATATTATACTTAAATTATCTTTCTTTCTCTTTTCCTCTTTCCATTTTATTGTATATCAGAAAGATATGTACAAATTTTTTTCTGTATGTACAAACTTCACTTTATTTGTTTCACTAAACTACATGTATATGTGCACATAAAATTCATACTCGGAGAAGTTTAGATTATCGCATTTAATGTATCTTATTCTTATCGTACACTTTAATTGTTAATAACTTTTTAATAAATAACGAATAATGACTAAAACGTCTTGGATGTTACTCAGAGTCATGACCTTGATAACATATGTCAAGGGCAAAGTCATGGGGAGTGAGGGTCATTAGTAATGAGTTTCCTAATATGCATATTTACCCAATAACTGTTCTGCTTTCAAAAAACATGTTATGCCAGCGTAATTCTCCCCCCCCCTCTCTCTCTCGCTCTTGTGCTCATTTCCAAAAACTTCTCAAAACTTTCCATACATTGTTGTTCATATAGCATTATTGCTTAGAAAAAGAAAAGCACCTATATCGTAAAATGTTAGGTGTAGTTGAACATACTAAAAATCCTACTAAAAAAAACTTTGCAAAGGTTAAAAAAACACGCCAAGTATATAAAAAATATCCCAACGCAACGAAATGTTTAAAAAATAGTTACTACTAAAAAATAGCTTATAAAAAAAATTCTCCCCTAAAAAATAAAGAATCCCTAAAAATAAAAAATAAAAAATAAATATGAAATTAATATTTAACTAGCCAAGTATTTAAAAGTAATTCAGTTTGTGAGGATTTGTAATTTGAAATAGTATTTGTCAAAATCAATGTTGCATTTACAGAAATATTATAGATTCTCTTGAGAAAATTAAAATGCATTTTATTTTTATTAAATTATTACACTATTATGTTCCAAATAAATATTTTGTATAATATATAAAATAGCACTATTATA